CAGGCTTGCTGTGCGGTCTCAAGAATGTGACACCGGCCTGTGTTGTCAAACACCACTTTGCGTGGTGTCCTTCTGGGAATGAAAGGAACTACCCTACAGGGTCAGTGGCTACCGGTCCCCTTCCAGCAAGTGGGGCAAGGTCCTGGTGCTTCTGGAGACCAGCTGAAACCTAAACCCTGTGACTTGGTGACCACATGGCCAACAAGATCGCTGATATCTCTGTGTGATGTGGGGGCAAAGACATCTGCGGCCTTACTGGCTTCACAGGGTGACCTGGGATCTGTGAGTGAGACATGATGCTTGTGAGCTGTGGAGCTGGCAAACAGGGCTTCATGCTTCACAAGTTTTCTATTAACTGGGACACGGCACGCAAGCTGTGGATTGGCCATTGGTCTGACTTCAGTGGTCTACAAGGCTTTCGATAAGTTGTAAAGGCACGGCTGTAGGTACATGGAGGCCGAGATACGATGCAGAGCTGGCCTCCTAAAGTTACCTTTTGTCAGGCTAACCTCATATCTTGCTTTGGAAAAGTAACTGATTTCCTCAGCAGAGATGACTTTGTGGTGAGAGGTTAATATGGCACTGCATTACATCATAAGTGGTTAGTTTTTCTGGAGAAGACACACCTACAATAGCTCAGCTGTTATAGGTAAAGATAATGGAGAAGTGGTGGTGGAAGGTGTTGAAAAAGGAGATAAGGCTCAGCAAAGTTCCTTGGAGATTATGTTGGCTTCTGCTTTTGTGGAGGACACTGGCACAAAAGGCAAGAGCATGCTTATGAGCTTTGCTTCTGGCACGGTGCTGGGGCTGTGGAAACACAAGGTGGGGTGAGGATGGCCATGGGGAAGAGCTGCGGCAGCAAAACCAAGAGAGAGTCTGTAATGCAAAGTGGGATGAATACAAATATGGGTGTAATGGGGCTTTTGCTGCCAGCCAGGAAATCATGTCAGTTGGAAACAACCTGGTGGATGGAAGTGCTTTGTATAATGCTCAGTTAGGGGATGAAAACAAGCCACCAGGCTGATGGGGCTGTGAAAAAGGCCAGTGTGATCTCAGGCTGCAAGTCATGGTGTTTCCAGTGTAACTGGGGAGTTGCTTGTGCTGTTATCCAGGAGAGACCTCCTGGAGACTGCTCTGTGTTTTCAGTGACTCTTATTCAAGAAAAAGAGACTTAAATAAGCTGATGAAGAAAACAGAGCGCTGTTTTCTAGTACAGTGTCTACCACAGTGGTCCTTCTTACACAGGTCCCACAGTGTCAGTGCCAGTTGTGCGGGGGTCTGAAACCAGAAACACAATAACCTCGCCAGCAGGACTCTGCCTGAGCGATATATCTGCATCGCTCTGGGACTTGAGTTAGTATCTCTTCAAGGCACTTGAGACAATTTGCCTTGCACTTCACCGCTTGGTACAGACGCACTGCCTTAGAAGAGCTGGCCTTGTGTAACTTATAAATGATAGCTGGGTGGGTCTGGCTCTTGCTTGTAAAGGAAGGAGGAGGAAATGCCAGGAAAGGATAAGAGCTGCTTAAGTGAAGACAGTTTTGATGCAAGAGAAAGTGAATGTAAAATGCTTGTGGGTAAGAAATGAGAAGGGGAGTTCTGGTGCAAAGTTTCAGTCTGAGTTGGGAGGGCAGATCCCCAACTACTCCTAAGGTGGACTTTGATCAGTAAAGGTAGCTCTGCAGTGCAAGGAGACTTGGGGCTACCAAACAGACAACAGGTATGAGAAAGAAGTGAGTATTTAAACAACACACTGTGTGTTGTCTGTCCTGTCCTGTCCCCCCCACACCGAAAAATAGAGAGCAGTCTCATCTGTGTTAGTGATGCGGCTCATGTGGTCTCAATTAGAAGTTGGAAAGAAGTCTAGGTGGATATGGTGAGCACTTGAGGATTTGTGAAGTATGGTATTGGTCTTGAAGCTACTGTGTCTTGCAGAAGAGCAGCTTACCTTAGTAATAACTGAGGAATGCCACAGGAATATATATTTAGAGACATTTACAGAGAGGAGGGAGTAACCCACTGACTGTAATTCATACCTCAATGCCTGATTGCAGAGACCAGGGCAGGGCTGGGAGTTGTCACATCTGTATTTGGCGTGAACCCAGCACCCGTGTTCCTGCCAGGTTAATGAACCGAGGCAGAGGAGAAGGGAAGGTCTCGGTCTTCAACAGCAATTGGGAGGGTGTAAGAATTCTAGGGCAAGTAAAATGCTGGAAGGAAAAGAGGGGGACCTAGTTGAGATACTGAAGGACGTGAAGAGGGACTTAAGCGTTAGGGGTGGAGTTTCTTTGCTTGGTTGGTTTGCTTTCCTGTGCAACCACTGCCAATTTTGCAATCACAGCTTGACTCCGTGAGCTTTCATAATAAGATACATTTCTGTTTTGTTTTTAAACAGGGTTCAGGCGAACCCAGCCTGTGCAAAGTTATGCTAGTCTTTCCAAAACAATAGGGAACCACAAATTGTCTTCCTAGTGTATCTTTGAGGTGCCTGTGAACCAAAACTGATTTGCCACTTCTAGGAGCAAGACTACAATTCCTGTTAAGTTGAAAAATCAGAGAGAAAAAAAGGGGAAAGGCCATTTCTGGGAGTCCCTGAGAAGAGAAGTGTCTGTGTAGCTTAAAGGACTCAAAGTCCCTTGCTGACCTGCTGCTGCTGCTGGGTTGGGGGATTATTCTATATGTAAGTGTGTGTTTATGTATTTATTTCCACTTGCTGCTTCTCTTGTCTCTCACTTTATGGGTGTTGTGTGTCTATGATAAATAACGTATCAAAGCGTATCTGGGTCAGGAAGCTTGTGGGCTTCATTTGGAAGGCTGGAACACAGGTTGTGGAGTTGTTTTACAGTCTAGTGTGATGTCACTTCTGGGGAGGCTTGGCCATGGGGGCCCTCGAGACCTCTGTACCCCAGTGCTGAGTCATCAGAAAGTCATGCCTGTACATGTTGCTGGGAACAAGTTCCGGTCTTTTTCTGTCTCTTTTAGAGTGCTGCCCACATGGCTTTGAGTGTCAGGTCAAAAATAACCTTGACTTTTTTTTAGTGAACACAATCAATAAAACAAGAGCCAATCTGGCTGCTGCCTCCTTCCCAGCTGTGGTTGCTCTGTAGCTCCTGGCGCAGGGCTGCTCCACCCCTCCCCAAAGGTCACTGCTTGGATGCTGTAGCCTCAGCATGCCCTGGTGATAAACCCACAGTATCCCATTCCTGCTTCTTCCCATGTTTGCTCTTTCTCTTGGTGGACCCTCTCTTTTGGTTTGTAGGAGTTGCAGATGGGAAATGTCTTCAACTTGTTCTTCTAGCCTTGCTCAGTCTGGTGATCTTGTGACTCAGGACCTGAGCTCACAGTCCTGCTCTGTCTTGGAAGGGTTTCAGTGAGCCATCGGATCTCTCAACTGACTCCTCCAGTCTGAGTTTTGTTCTGCAAGTGTTCACAGGGACCTTAGATGTTGGCAGGCAATACGAAATGGCTATAATAATGTCCTGTTTCTCATTCTGTCTGGGACACAGGCAATCCAAGCTGATGAGCAGGTCATTGAGGATGAACCGTAACTTACACTGTCATGCAGCAGCCGGTTGGGAGCTTACGCTGTGTCCTTACTCTAACCCCTCCGGGTATGCAGACAATTATGGAACATGTGGAAAGCAGAGGTGACTCTTGCGGGTCTCTGCTTTTCTTGGATCTGCATGGTGAGAGCAGAGAAACATGTTTAGATTTAGTCCAGGCTTTGTATTTTTCTTCCTTGAGCTGGATGGCGTTTGGGCTAGGGTTCAAATAGGTCTGTATACTTCTGTCACGCTAATTCATCTGTTCTTATGCAAGCACAAGGCGTAGCAAGTGCTGGAGGAGGAACTTGCGGCCCCTGTGACTGTTCTGGAAGTGGTCAGAGGTCCCTCCTCTTCTTACTTACCCTCTGGACCATCACGTGGGGTCCTGAAAACTTCTTGTCTAGAATCATAGGATCATGGGATAGTTTTCAGTGTTGGCTTATCACCTCAACCCTGCATCACTTGGAAATGTTTCCCCTCTCCAGGGCCAAGTCCAAAGCCAACTATTGCATCAAGGCAGATGTGAGCGTGGGTGCACGTGTTCATAAACTTTGAAGTTGGTCTTCTTTCTCATATTGTCTAAGGGGACCAGCCAGATGTTTTCCCCCCTCTTGGTTTGCTTTTAGAGGAACACCTCCACCTGCTCCCCAGCAAAGACCCTCTTGAATATATTTGTGCTTTCTGGTGGGAGGGTGTCCAAGTTTAATCTGGGAGAAAGCCTGAATTGTCCAGGGACTGCCTGGGGGATGACTGAGCTCCTTCCCCACCATGCAGCACTGCAGCTTGTTAGCAGAGGCCAGTGGCTGCAGCCAGCTGGTCACGCTGCTGCCAGCATCTCTCCTGTGCTGCCAATAACAGGGGACCCCATTCTCTGGGGCTCTTGATCTGTCACCTTCCTCGGGCTCTAATATTTACTGAATAATGCTCCCACGGTGACAGATCTATTTCTGGTTTTGTTCTCTATAACATACCTGCCAGAGTGCCCCGGGTGACTGAGGAATTTATAATAAAGGCACAGTTTCCAAACTAAGTTTGGTGCTTTCCTGCCTGCAGAATTTCTAGCCAAGAAAGACTAGGACACTGTTTGTCCACCTCGCTAAGAGACTGGGTAAATATAGAACTACATTTTTTTTTTCCATTTAGGCCCTAAGTTTTTGTTGAGAGGTTTTATTTGCTTTTACTCCTTTTGCATGATCCTTCTCGATTGTGTCTTTATTTCACTGATATGTGCAGTGAGGTGCAGAGAAGGGCAATGAATTGGGCAAGGATGTTCACTGGTGCAGTTGCACATTCCATGTGTAAAATCACATTATTTGTCTTTTCCAAAATGTTGGGAAAACAGCGTGGGGCTGGGTGTTAGGGCATGAGAAACTCCCTCTGTGTGCCATTCCCTGCCCAGGCAGAGTAATCATCTGGTGGTGCCACAGCTGAACCTTTCCTTATTCTCCACAGACACATAGAGAACTGGAAGAACTTGCAGACGCTGAATGCTGTTGACATGGAGCTGTACACGGGACTCCAGAGGCTGTGAGTATGTCCCGTGTGTTGGGGAGGAGAACAGCATTGGGCAGCCCCTTCCAGCAAAGAGTTGTGGCTTCCCAACTTCCACAGTCTCCACACTGCGGTGTTGAGAGCCTGTTTAAGCTACTGGCTCGGCTGAATTTTGCAATGAGACTCCACAAAATGGAGATGAAGTGCTTTTTGGTCCTTGCTGGCTCTGTGAGGAGGAAGATTGCTAGCTCCTGACAGCTTTGTCAGCACACATCAGCCCTGACCTCTTCTCCCCTGCTGTTCTGGTTCTGGGCTTGTGTGTTGTTCTGACTCATTTCAGCCCCATAATGTAAAATTCCAGCTGTCTCTGCTGATCCTTCACTGCTGGGCTGTTGGTCCTCATTTAGTGCAGTCACCATCACGGTGGTACCGCATGATAAAGGAGTTGCATCTCCCTTCACGACCCTCCAAGCGCTAGGAGAGGTCAACTCTGTGTGTCATGAAGGGAAAACTGAGGTCCCTGAGATTGAAGGGACTTCCCAAGTGCATGGGAAGCCTGGCCACATGATGATGCCACCCAATCTCTTAATTTCCCCCTCTTGCATCCTCCTGGAGCCGGGAGCAATGCCTCCTGGGTGCTGCATGTGAGAGATGCACAGTGTTGCTCAGGGTTAACTGGAGACTCTGCTAATGTGTTTTGCTGGGATTTTTGTTGGGCATAACTTGCCTGCAGGCTGGAGGAGAGGTGTACATTGCTGAGAAGTCGATAACCAGACACCAGCAAGCTGCACGCACCTTGTAAGCAGGCTGGTTGCTGTTCTCATCTCACCTAAGAAAGCAGCAATGAAGTCAGGTGCACTTTTGTCTGCAGCAGATGTTAATAAACCTTGGTCATAGTGCCTGCTCCAAAACAGGGTGGGAAGAGGACTCTCCCTTCAATGTCCATAACTTCCCGTGCAAAATACACCCCTCCCTAATGATAAACAGAAAGGTTTCCTCTTGGGTTTGAGGGAGGGGCATAGTGGTGCTGGGGGTTAGGTTTGCTGTGGGGCCAGGCAGTGCTGCTCATGAAGGTGGAGGCAGAAGAGAGGAGCAGGAGATGCTCCAGACCACTGCAGCAAGCCTTGTGGATGTGGGGAGAGAGTCTTGCTCAGCAGCTGCTCTGAGCTGAGGCTTTGCTCTCACCGTATCAGATGAAGCTGAAAAGCCCAATTTCCTCTTTGTAACTCACAGAGGCTGTCCGGGGAGACATGTGCCTCTGGTGGGGGGGCACCGCAGGGCTCCTGGTACACTTCAGGTGCTGAACTCAAGGTTTTAGAGCAGTCCTCACCCGGGACTCCATTGCTGCCCTTCTGCATCTCTTTGCAGGACAATCAGGAACTCAGGACTACGAAACATCCAGCCACGCGCCTTTGCCAAGAACCCTCACCTGCGCTACATGTGAGTGCCGGCAGCTCCTGCCTCCTTTTCCCTCTACTCCCCCTGGGTCCCCAAAGTGCCTGTTGGAAGAGCAATGGGAGGGGAGGGGGATGCTGATGGGGAGAGGCTGGGAGAGATCGTAAAGGGGGGAAAAATTAAAAGTGAAGGTGCAGGGAAAGGCAGTGGGCCCTGATGCAGGACCGGGTGAGCTCCTGCAGGGCAGCTGATGGGTTTCTGTGTCTAACAACTGTCCCAGCTTCAGCTGCCGCTCTAACGAGTGCTTGCATTGTTAGCAGCCTTGCTGTGGCTGATGCACGTTTCCCTTTCTGCAGAGTTCTGGGGGTGGCCGCATGCCCCAGCACACTGCCGGAGCCTGCCCCACTCATTAGCTGTTAAACGGATACTTTTCCAGCATGAAGGGGTTGTGGCGTAGGGCTGCCAGCTCTGCTCCTAATTATGGACTTCTTAAACTGGTGTCTGCAGCGAGCCTGGCGTAGGGATGCTTTGTGCCAGAGAGACTGGAGGCCTGTTATCATGGGACATTGCATAATTGTCCAGCTGCTGGGGCATCGTTAGCCACCAGGTACAGTCTCCTGGGGAATTCCTCCATCCTTGAGGCCAAGGGCACTGATTTCTTTTCTGGATAGATAGGTATTTACTTTTCCCAAGGCGATAAAGGAAAACCTGAATTTCAGGCCAGTGTGCAAGGTGCTTGAAATATCTTGTCAAAGTGACTGTGTCTGAGATGAAACCCCTCTCAGCTCCAGTATAGATCTAAAAGGTGAAAAGGGGTTGGTGAGAGGCCCTGACCTTGGGCATGAGCTGATGGGCTGGATGGAAAGTGTGTGTATCCCTGCTTTTTGGAAACCAATGATAGCGGCTTCTTTCGTGAAAAATGGCCATAGTGCACATCTGTTTGAGTCTGCAGATGCATGCAGGCATGTTCCTGGTGGAGGGAGATAGGTGTGACCTACAGAGCAGGATAGATTTGTCTTTTGATGTCTGCTCAGAGATGATGTGAACTGAAAAACCCCAAAAGCTTCCTTTTTGGAAAACCAGTTACAGTTGCTAAGTGACGGTAAAGTACTTGCTAAATAGGAGATCTGCAGTACCAAAGGGCATGAATAGTTAAGGGCATTGTGAACAAGCATGGAGACTTTTTGAGTTTAGAGAAGTGCTACTCTGTTGTAATAAACCCTTCTTAATGCTGACCATTGGGATTTTCCTGATTTCTGCACTTTATTATTTTGACTTGTAGCATTTGTTTTCTGTAGTTGGTTGTTACTGGGTAGAGTTCTCTCAGAATACCTCTTTCAATTGATTTCCCTTTTTTTTTTTTTTGGGGGGGGGGAAGGGGATGTTGTTTGTCAATTGTGCAGTTGCTGTTTATGTATCTAGCAGATAAAATGAATAACATTTGATTCCTGATGAAATTAATTAGGATGTCGTAGGAGTTTAGAAGGCCGTGTAGGCTCGTTTTGAGGCTGAATGTGTTGTTAATGTGTACACGTGCAATTGCTGTTGCTTTTTCCAAAAGTGTTTGTTTTTGTCTTTTGAGATTACTTTTGAGATTGGGAAAAAAACCCACATCCATCTTGTGTCAAGAGTTAAGGTTGGTATGTGGTGATGAAATATGTGTTTGTTTACTTCTTGGTCCATGTAAGATTGATCATGTTCTTAACATCTTGCTTTTCTTGCCTTTTGAAGCTCGAGGCAAGTAAGTATATTATTTGGTTAGTGTTCGCCAGTGGGTTTTGATACTGTTCCTTGGAGAGTGGATGTTTGCAAGGTGGATGCTCCTCACGGCGGATGTTGGACACCTGGGGATGGAGCCCTGGTGCTTTCGGGGGACGGTGGCTCCCTTCTGCTCCCCAGAGGCTCTTGGACCACAGTGCTGCTGTTCCCTTGCAGTCCGACTGATTTTTCTGTTTGTTTTTTTTTTTTTCTTTTTTTTTTTTTCTCCCTGATGGGTGGAGCGAGGTGGCTCCCAAGGCTTTGCACAACCTGGCAAGCACCTGATGCCAGCTGGGGTCCGTCCCCTCTGTGGCCATGACACTGTGCAAGTGCATCGGTGTGTCTCCTTGGCTGCTCCGCAGCTGCTGCCTCCAGGGGAGCTTGGCTTGCTGAAGGCCTGACATTTTCTGCAGCCGCTGCACGTAGGAGCCAGGGATAAAAGGATTAATGGAAATGTCACTCTGCTGTAAGTCTTGGGCTGCTGTAACCATGTACAGTAGCTAGCAGGGGCAAGGGATACTGTCCCAATCCCCTTGTGGCAGGGCTGGCTGCAGCTGGATGGGTGCGGGGCTGGGGACCGTGGGATGGTGTGCTTAAGGCTTGTTGAGTTACTGCTGCACGTTATCGCTGCTGCTCTCTGGTTTTACTTTGCTGGCTGTTTGGATGGTTGCAGGTGGAGTGGAGTCAATAAGATGTCAAATGTGTCTAATACATGACATAGTTTTCACTGCCAGGGAAGGCTGGCACATGATGGTGGGGACCCTGGGCTGGACCTTTGCAGGGTGCTACAAGCTGAGTCTGAGCAGTGGCAGGCATTTTTCCACGTGAAGTTCGTGTACAAATTGTGAGGACTCAAGCTGTTTTTTTCCCTCTCCTTCCCCATGCGGGGTTAAATCCCAGCCTCCTGCTGAAGCTTTTTTCCCAGTGCCTTTCATCAAGGTTTCCTCCCCTCAGATGGGCCAGATAGCTCTGCCTTCTCCCAGCAACTTCTATTTCTGGCCCTTCCTCTGTGCACACGCTTGTCTTCAGACCCCAGCTGTGCAATCACAAGCAGATCACTTATCCCAGCTCTAATTGCAGAAGCTCAGGTTTGTGGGGGTTTGTTTAAGATGATGGTTCTGGATGAAGTTTGTCTTCGTTTTTTTCCCCCTTCCGCATCCCAGAGTCAGGGAAGAAAGGAGAGAAAACCATGAAGGGGGTTTTCAGCATTCAGCTGTCCAAGTGGTAGACCTCAAAGTGTTCCAAAGTGCCGCCTGGCAGGGTCATGCCTGCTCTTTAAGGTTTGAAATTAGCTGTATAAGTGTAAGGGGCTTGAGGCCAGCCTAATCAGTGGAGAAGTAGTGGGTGATGGGGAACCAGACATGTGGATCTAGAAATAGCTTTGGTTCCCTCTTCCCTCTACTTGAATGAGGAGAGTTAGGACTTCATGGCATGTCTGATCGTCGGTGCTGTGAAGCTTATCACTGCTACAGAGGCAATTGCTCCAAAATATAACAGTGGGTTTTGCAACGTGGATCTGCCTCTTCTGCTTGGAATTGGGTCGAGGCAGTTAAATCCTTCTAGCACAAGTGCTGACTGGATGTTGAATGGGTATAGATGTGGGTCCAATTGAAACTGGATATCATCCAGTGTCATTTTGTGCTCTCACTGGACAAAGTTGCATTGGTGTGTTCTTGGTCCCATTTTTGTGCAGCTTTGACAGCCTTTGGTTAATACGAGGAAGGTCCTGGAGAACACTATGCACTGGATGGGAGGGACAGCAGGTCTAGGCTGTGGAAAACAGCCCGTGCAGCCAAGATTTGTGGAAGTTAGTGTTATCAGGTGCTGCAAGTGAATGTGGAAAATGTTTGGTGTTGACAGAAAATATCCATTGGCTTGAAGTTGTACAAGAAAACTTTAGGATGATATGGTTCTAAATTTGAGACATAAAAAACCATCTGAATACATATTTACTATGTCTCTGTGTTTAGCACAGCTTACTGAGGAAAGTCTTTCATGCTCTGTCATTTTAATAACACTGGAATGCTTTGGACAGTTTATTTGAACTTGATGGAGGTTTACAAGTCATGAGAATATCAAGTTCCTACACATATCATGAAAATAGGCAGAGGAATAGTAAAGAGAGGTTGTTGTAGTGCCTTGTGGGGAAGAGTACAACATTATCACATTCCCCGTTAGGTGCTGGGAAGTCCCCAGGAGAGCTCAGCTTCACAGTGCACAGGAGAGGACAGGACTCATTACTGCTGGCCAGAGTGTCCAGCCTTTGCTGGCTGTGGGACAGTAGAGCTGTGCATTGGGAGAGTAGGTTCCCAGCAGGCTGTGCCTAGAGTTGGGCAAGTTGACATCTGTCGTGCCTGAGTCCCACTTTATTGGGAAGCAGACACTTAAGAGACTGTTATTTCCTCTAAATGCTTTCCTGGGTGGCTGCGTATTCAGTCAGCTAGTCAGGAAGCACTGCCTTGTATTTGCAGAAGGTAATTGTGCACACCTTATTTATTGTGTAGTAAAGAAAACAAATTAAGGCTGTGTAATTATAGAGACAGGCACACTTTTAAATAAGGCTCAAGTAGTCAGATTTCTATTTAGAAAATTAATAATTGCCATTTCTGTCTGCATTCAGAGGCTATTCTTAAACTGTCTTCTGGAGGTTTATACATGTTCTAAATAGTTTTGTGGGCTGGCCAAGACACAGCTCTTGTGAAAGATCTCTCTTAGTGTTGCCTGCCAGACTAAGGATGGGGTTGAAGATCAAGCTTTCTCTTCCAGTCTTCACTCAAGGGTGTTAAAGACGGAGACCCTGAAGTGCTTTGTGCTGAGTGTAACTGGGGTTTGAGTGTGGCATGGTCAGATCACCTTCTGCTCCACAGGCATTTTTATCTCTGTGATCCTGTCAGTCTTTCTCCCAAAAATGAGGATTAGGGAGGATCTGGAAGGTGCTAGCAGGAATGTGCAGGGACCTGTTTTTCCTGATGAAAGTCAGAGCTGGCTTATCTATGGGCTTGTTTTCATAGACAGAGCCAAGCTGTGTTTAATCTGGAGCCTCCCAGAACCTCCTCTGTAGGTTGTGGTGTTTTTTGAGGATGGGGTTAACTTCCGAGTCCTGGCTGGGTTCATGACAGTCGTGCAGTGTCATGTGAACTGGTACCCTGGTATTGGATGTAGTTTGTAGCTTTGGCATGGGAATTCCTAGACATGTGTTATGGTTTTAGGGTTTGATAGGAAAGAAACTGGGCTGCATTCCCCGAAAAGCGAGGTGGCCGAGGCAGCACAGGGTTGGTGAATCGTGC